CAGATTGTCAGCTCTCTGAGGACAGGAACACAACTCTCATGCTTAGGTTGTACTCCCAAGGCCTAGCATAGTCCTTCATGCAGAGCAGGTGCTCAATAAATATTTGTTAAACAAATGAATGTGCCTCAAAGTAAACCATGAGCCAGCCTTCTTGACAACACAGGTGAGAATGCCTTACTCTCATTTGCAATTTCATCCTCGCTAGTCAAGCTCCCCTGACTGGAACAACTATTACTTTTCCACAAAGCAAGCAAAAACTTTGTTGCAGACAAAGCAACCTATATATCCCAAAGGAAAATAAACTTTCCAAAGGTTCTGAGAATTAGCATATGGTAATTGTCAGATCCCAGGGTATCTTTTAATTGAACCTTCACAGTAGTTCACTTAGCCTGTACTCAGTGCTTAAATTGAGTAGAACCTCATTAGGGAGTCTGTGTCATGCCTTAGTGAAAATGGAGAGAATGAGAAATATAGCTTTCCATGAGATGGAGGCATGGGAGAAAGGGAGCAATCTGGTCTGTGGACTCTTGAATCTGATTATCTTGACTGTACTGACTTATGACCTTGGAGATGATGGGCATGGGCATGAGGACAGTCTTAGCCATTAAAGGAGTTCAGGCTCTTCCTTCAAAATCCTATTCTAGATCTTGTATTTCACAAAGATCTTCTGCGTGCTTCCCTCCTTCCCCTTTCCTGTGTTTCTTCTTTAATGCCAGCCTCAGAAGCAACCATTTTTAAAGAGTTTTCCTCCCTAGAAAGTTTTCCTGAGGGAACCATACGATTGCCTGGCTTTGCCCACCAATACTTACCTGGGATTCCCCCTGTATATCACTTATTCACTTCATTCATTCACTCTGTTCTAGCCACCCTGAACTCTTCCCTTCCTGCGACCATGACTAGGGAGAAGCAAGCAAAGCACCCAGGGTGCAAAGTTTAAAGAGGCTGTCATTCTCAGGCATTGACCCTGCCCTTGCATGAGCCCTGGGAGTGAGTGCCTCCTTATATTTTGCACCCTGGGCACCTCCTTTGCCCCACTCTAGTCCAGCTCTCTCTGTCTAGAAGGCTAACCTCCCCCTCTGCCCTAATCCATCATTGCTTCTCTAAATCCTAAGGCTTCAAAATGCTGCCTCCTCTACAAAACTCTTGCTGAGCCTTGCCGGTTCTTCCCACAACCCAACAAATGGGCATCTCACCCTTCTCCAAATTCTCAGCTGACATTTTTGTATAACTCTCCAAGGCACTGTATAGCTTGTTAGTTCTTTGAGTATGTCTTTTTGTCACCATATTCAACTATAAAATTCTGAAAGTGGAGGATTTTTCTCAGTATGCCCACAGTATTTATCACGGGATTTGACATGCGGTAGGTATTCAGATGTTGGTAGGAGGAGGGATAGAGAAAAGGAAGAAGAGAGAATAGTGCTTGATTACACGGGGGTATGGGCTTTGGGACCTGTCATGGTTTGAATTATGTCCCCCCAAAAATGTGTGTGTATCAGTTTGGCTAGGCCATGATTCCTGGTACTGTGTGATTTTCCTCTATGTTGTAAACCTGCCTCTATGATGTTAATGAGGGAGGATG